ACCAATAAAGAAAGGAACTATGTCCTACAGGTATAGAACAGACATTGCAGTGCCTAAACTACTGCCCACTTAAAGGATCTAGTCTAGGATATCCCCAGTGGACACTTTTCAGTCTGGCTAAGGCAGACACTACCAGGAGGTAGGAATGAATCCTTTGGGAGGTAAACCTTGAATAAGGGTGTGCCTTTGTAGAGGATACTGAGGCTGTTGCCTATTCAAGTCTCTCTCTCTCTCTCTCTCTCTCTCTCTCTCTCTCTCTCTCTCTCTCTTTTTCTGCCTCATAGCTGTCATATTGTGAGGAGCCTCTTCAGCAACATGACCCCAACTTTGATCCATGGAATTGTCACAGGCTCATAGCACAATTGCTGAATACATAACAGGAACATGAAAGTCTGAAACCAGGAGACACTAACCCTTCCTCCTAGTAAGTTGATTGTAGGTATTTTGCTACAGGGTTGGAAGATGAATGTATGAGTTTTTTCTCATTGTTGTGACAAAATACTTCGAAAAAAGTAGTTTAATGAAGAGGAGGTTACTTGTGGATCACAATTTGAGGTACATCCCATTATGCCAAAGTAGGAAAAGCAGCAGCTCTTGAGAGAACTGGTCACCATCCACTTCTAGTTAATAAGCAGAGAGGGCAAAATGCCAGTGTCCCTAGGAGAACACTGTTCTTGTAAAGTAGGGTGGGCAGAAGGGCTTTTTCCACCTCAATTAAACCATTCTAAGAAAACACCCTCATTGACCTTCTTGGTGATATGATCCCATGGTGATTCTAAAAGCAGTCAAACTGACAATGAAAGTCACCCATCTGTTTGTGTGATACTTGAAGAGTTCATTGTTCAGTTCTCATCACCTCATATTTCATCTCAAAGTGTTATCACATTAAATTAGCATATTAACACAGACCTTAAGACATATTGATCACATTAGTGGCAACATTGTAATCATCAGCATGAGGAAATTAGAATAAATGACATTGCTTGCATTATATATATATATATTCTTTGAAATATATCTTAACCCAAATAAACAAACTACACAATAATATAATAAGACAAACCTACTGTTTCTTCTAAACAGATCTAGCCACTGTTACTATAGTTCTCTTCACAACTACTAATATTTAATTTTCACTGAATTTTTAAAAAGCAAGGCTTGAAGAATTGTTGGGGTGATTTAAAATGCTCAATGATCTTGCAGAAGACCTTAGTTTAATCCCTGGTTCCCACATGGTTGCTCACCAATATCTGTAACTCATGATTTAAGGGTTCCAATGTCCTCAACAGTCTTCAGGGCATACTACTCAGACACATGGTGCACAAAGATATATGCAGGCAAAACACACATATATGTAAAATAAAAATTAATCTTTAAAAAATTAAAACATGTGATGATTTATTCCTTATTAGCTAGCAATGCTAATAGATGCAAAATCTGATAAAAATGACTTCATTTGCTCAATGACCTATGAGGAACATAGCATGATATACAATGAAGAAAGTGAGTCTCAGAGAACTGGAAGCCTGACTGCTGCTGCAAAATAACAATCATATGATTTTTTTTTTACTTATTCTGCCTAAGTTGAGAAACATCCTCTTTAAATTGTCAGAGATTATTCTACATTACTGAGCAACACATAGTAGAGATGAAAAAAGCAAACCCTTAAGTAATGTTCCTGGGAAGGAGACAGTATGATCATGCTAACATTGCTCATTTTCCTCTGGATTAGAATCCTGAGACATGCAGATATGAACATAGATGTAGATGTAGGTATAAGTATGTCAAAGTGCAGGATATTTCTGTCTAAGAGCTGTGTTCAAAAATGAATTTCAGAGGAAGTCAATGAGGCAGCAAATGACTGCATGTTTTTAAAATAGCTGATGCCAAAATAGCTAATTATTTTTTTAGGATGGCAAATCAAATATTATCCTGAAAGGAGGATACACCCTTATCTGCCTATTAAATACAGTAATTCTAAAGAGAAAATAATGTGTAGCTATCTGTTGCCTGGAGACTCCCTGAGCTGTCACATTCTCTAGATCTACTTTAAAAGGAAAAGTTGTTCGAAGCCCATCTGCTAGCTTTATAATGACCTATGCCCTGACCTGGTGAGTCGGGAAATTTAATTTTCTTGTCAAATTAGCCATTTGTGTATAGACATAATAAAGCTACTTTCTATAAGCCAACAGGCAGAGGAGGGTGACAGAAACGCAGAGTTGACACTGCAAGGGGAAAAAGGCAGTAGTTCATACTTTAAATGTCATCTCCTGGGGCCAATGGGCCTGCCAGGACTTAGTGAAGCCCACATTCTCCCTGACATATCAAAGTCTACCACACATACTTTGAAACAGTTCTGTCTCTCCTTTGTTTGGTACCAGAGATTGGTAGGAACTTGCACTTGCCTGGCATGTATCAGAAGCACTGATATGTCTATGTCACCAAAGCACACTTGATCTGTCCATCTCTTTCCAATGTCTCCCTTTAGCTGGACTGAAAAAATGCTGGTTTTGAAACTAGATTGTTGCTGCTGAAGAATCTCTAGGTTCTTCCACAGACACCTTTCTAAACAGTGACAATAGCAGATATGACTATAATCAGTTACATTGAGAACTGCAGCTTGACTCCCTGAGAACTGGAATTACTTCAATAAAACTGGTTTTCCATTAGTATAATAGAGAGATTATAAAATGTGTTAAAAACAGTGAGAGTGGGTATTGACCCTGGTTAATGCTCACGTCCATGGTGCAATTGTTTTGTTTTGAGTTACAAAGCTTCCTAAAACTCATCCCTGATTGAGAACATGCCATTTCATAATAAAGCATTGTCACTGGTGTAATGGACACTGTATTTGGAATGAATCTCTTATATGCATTATATATAATATATTCCTTTTTGGAATATATAGATGTGTGTGTGTCTGTGTGAGGTAATAGTATGTGGATCCCTTATTCCTTAGAGAATCATGATTTAATATATTCCTGAGAACTTACATGTTTTTTGCTTGTAACAAGTAGAAATTTCATCAAACCAATGTTTGATATTAATCACAGAATAGGAGTTCAGTTGCACCCATAGGGTTTACTCCCTTCACATTCTGTCTCATGCTTAGGCTTGTGAGAAAAATAAGGATGTTTTCTGACAGAGAACATATAAAAAACATGAAAAAAGTTCATGAATTCACGCCACAAATACAGCTGGACCTATTCATGTTAGATCCCACCACAAAGACACTGTACAACTGCATTTCGTAGCCATACAAAATTATTTTTCCTACCCTTATTTCACATTTGACCACCAAATTTCACATTTGACCTTCTCACAGATATAATTCTTCCAACGAGATGATGGATATTCTGTATGTACACAATAATATTGTGTTCTGAGATGAGAATGGCCAGCAGGCCATTATTCAAATCCTCACATGGAGGACTAGCTTCTTAGTTGTTTTCTTAGTCAGTAATCTTTTTATTGCCTCAAATTTAAAGATAAATTGTGTTTTAATAAGAGCTTTGGGAGGCCCTGACAGTCCTAAAGAATTTCTCCTCCACCTTTATCATGTACACCAATTTATCATGTACAAGTGATGGGAACTTAGCATATTTTAAGTTCATAAAGAGTTGATAATGAAAAATAATATATTAAGTAATTATTAAAACATGGCTCTTTTCAGATTTCATGTACTTATACTCTATTTACATCATTTCTACACTTCCTGCTCATGTTTCAGCTTCTCATCCTCCCACAGCCTTCCAAACTCATTAACTCTTCTTGTACATTTATTGTTGTTGATGTATCTATGTAACTAAAAAATCCAAAGGAGCCATATATGCTTTGTTTCATCAAAGGCATAGGCTTATTATATTTTTTTCAAATTTACAGTGAAGGACATGAAAGGTCTAATACATAAGCATATTGATGACAAAAATGGAAAAGCAACTATAAAACTACTATCTAAAAATAAAATAGTATTATAAATTTTAAAGTGTAAACAAATGAAAACTCCAGAAAATTTACTTTCCTAGAGATTCTCTGAAAAAATCATGGCAAAGATGCCAATCCTAGATATGTGTAGCCTAGAAATAGAAAATGTGTTCTTATACCTTCCCTCTCACATACACACTCACACTCTCATGCATACACATTCACTCTCAAACAAACTCTCTCTCTCTCTCTCTCTCTCTCTCTCTCTCTCTCTCTCACACACACACACACACACACACACACACACACACACACACTGCAACCTTGGAGACAAGCACACGAGATAATAAATGTTCAATGTTCAGAGTGATTTCAGCTTGAGCAGCTATACTATCACACTATCATTTCTTGACGTCTAAAAAGAAAAGATATATACAAATGAATAGAAAAGAACAGGACTGAGCCTCATTTTAAAGCCAAAAAATTGAAGAAGTGATTGATTTCCATCCTAGGAAAAATTTCTAAGTAAGAAAATTAAGAACATGAGGCATTTTTAAATGACACAGAAATATTTGTTTTTCTGTAAAAGAAGCCATTCCAGATATGCTGACTTATCAGAAATGATCACAAACTGAGAAGAAGGCAATTTCAAACCCACATTCAGAAACAAGATAGGGTCTACTAAATGTGGTGACATGGTGGTCTCATACCTCTGAATTCTAATACATAATTCACTATATCTGTCAGGAGAGACAAAATACAACTGGCAATACTCATGCAACACTAAAAAATAATAAAGCATAAAATGAAAAAGATCCATCCCAATGTGCTATAAAATACTTGCAATTTTGCATCTCCATCTAGCTTTCCCAAGAGCTGGAATAATTTGATTTATTTTGATATTCCTGTTTCTAGGCATTGTCTGTAGCTCTTAGTAGATAAACATATGAAAGTCCACACCACCCACACAGCAAGAGGATAAACTGACAGAAAGCCCTTCATCACTGAAGAACAATCCCAAAGGCTCCTTCTCTTGTCCTACAAAGTAGCAAGTACTCCACTTAAATGAGAAATACCTTATTGGACTAGAAGTAATATCAGGGTCACGTGCTGTCACTTGGCCAATCACAGAGTTCAAAGCAGCATTTTCATGAACTTCAAGGAGGTATGTTGGTGAAGAGAAGACTGGGGGCTCATCAGCATCCTCCACAACAATTTTAACTGTTGCTGTGTCCTTAAAGGGTCCCCTGCCACTGAAACGTGGGTCGATGTGGATATTGGCTGCCTCCACCTTCAGTGTATAGGATTTTTTGGTCTCAAAGTCCAGAGGCTGTTAAAAAAATGACAAAGATGAATGCTTCTCTCTAAACCACAGCAGCAAGAACAAATGAGTATAATGCGGATGGATGGAAGTTATTCTCATTTAAGCCTGTTTGTGACTCTTAATGGGATTCAATCCCCAAGATTCAACCTGTAAATTTTGCAGGCATTTATTGATACTTGTTTATTATACCAACTCAGCAAGTCTAATCTATTGTTCTGTTTTGTTTTCCTCATTTCACTTAGAATTCACAAAATATTCACAGTCATGAATTGTGACATCAAATTTTCACTTCAGAGTTGTAATAAAATTTTACTATTGATGACATGACTGGCATGCTAATCATATGGTTAACCAGGTTTCTGCTGGTGACAGATAAGGCAGCATTGAATACAATCTCTGTCTGAGAACAATATTCTGGCCTTTCTGCAACAGTGTGTGAAATGGCAAGACTAGAAATAATTATTGTTTAGTACGAGGAGACTTTACAAAGCATGATTTAGCACTAATCCTAACAAAGAGCATTTCATATCATTTCCAAAACAGTTCTACTCTAACTGATTATGTGGACAAAATGGGTTTATTAATTTTTAGGACATTCTTAGGTCTCTGTCATACAAACTAGGCTATGGAAGAGGCAAACATATAAAGAAATATGCTTTCACAAAGAGACATATTTGGGTTTGTATTTAGGAACATGAAGTGTGAATGCAAATAAGTTGACACAAGTAGGTCTGACTTTGCCTCACACTAACCACTTATAAACTGAAATTACATCATTTCTCTACCATTGGTTATATTTCTGAAAGAGTTAACATCACTTAACAGTCTAAATGACATTGTCAATAATGGGTGTAAGTCACGTGATGTAAGAGATACATTCCCTTACATACATTAGAACTGATGTGTACCATACCAATCTAGGCAAATTTTTGGCAACTTATAATACTCCAGATTTTTTAAAAAATTTAAGTCTGTCAAGATTCAAGAAGATAGTTTATGTATGCATTGAAATTTCCCAGAAGAAACAGAACTTTAAATCTGCATTGCAAATTTTTAGAAAATAGGAAGCTGGAACAAAAACTAACATCAGTGAAGTCTTACAGAGCACTTGTGCAAGATTAAATATATATTCTTATTTCAAACATCCAAGTTGATTTTTATATGTGAATTCAGATGTAATGGGAACTTAGCTCTCCTCCCCAATATTTTCAGGTATACAGTGGAAACACACATCCCTGTTTTTTCTGAAATAACAATGTGTCTGTGTATAATTTGGAAGAGATGATTTAGGATGGTATGAGAATATTCAAACTCTGTAAATCACCCACACCATAATAATCTTGCCTTTCTTTGCACTTTACAAAATCTGTTCAAAATATGCTCTGTAATGTGTTAACAGCAATACTGACTGGCAGATAGTAATTGTGTATATTTTAAGTTACAATAATATGCTAATATACAAATCGAGGAATTGATCAAGTCAATTGGCATATCCATCATCACACCACATTATCAGTTTGGGTGGATATTAAGAATCCTTCCTTCTAGAAATGCTGTGCCCATCACACTGCACAAAATACAACTAAATATTGTCTAGTTTTGTACTATTGGATCTTTTGATCAAGATCTTTCCTTTTTCTTTACCTCCTGAGGTCAGAATCTCCAATCTCAAATAGCTCTCTAAGCATTCTCAAGGTAGATTCTAGATTCTTTCATAGAAGGATCCCAGGGCCTAGTCTGCCTAAATGAGTAAATAGGCTCCCTGTACCTTACTCCATTTTTTGTTTCTGTAAAAATCAAAACCTGGCAGTTCTCCAAGACAACTTCGCTTATTTTTTTCTTTTCATCTGCGATTTGCAGCCCAGCATAACCATAAAGGGTCCAAACAAATTCTGCATCCTTAGGATTTTATCAGTCACAAAGCAGTGGCACATAAGCCTATAGAAATTTGACTCCTTTACACCCTTTTCTAAAATTAACTTGTGCTTTGTATATCATGAAATACGTGGCATATGCCTCCAAGTTTATAAATATTAGTGGACAGTATTACAATGAACAGCTCATTATTTAAGCTTACAAAAGTACTGGACAGGAACAAAGGATAGCAATTAATAAAAACAATACAATGGAATTAGGAGATTTTTAGCCAAGGAAAATGGTTTTGAGTTACTAGAAATGGAAACTTTCACGTATTGTTCAACTGTTAGTCCAAACCTCTGACCTTGGATCCCAGCATGAGAATAGTGTTACTCACTGAAAATTAAAATAAATAAAGACATTGTTCCCAAAATTGATTGTAAAGATGTTTAAACAAAAACATATCCAGAAAATTCCAGGTTTTTATTGTTGATTCTCTTCAATAAGGAATTTAAAGGAACTACCATTTCACATCCATTTTGAGGAATCAGAGATAGAATATGATGATCTTACTCATGATAGACAAGCATATTTCATCAGACTACATCCCTAGTAAAATATTATCTTCGTGTCACATGATAGAATTGCACAGTAGTCTTACTGTTCTGCTCCGTAATGCTTACAAAGACAGCAGACACAAAATTAATTGTTCCCAATAATGTATTCCAGCACATATTTTCTTATTCATAAATTAGATAATCTATTTAAAATATGTGCAACAAAGATGTGAAGAATATTATTGAAGAAATACCATGTCATCCATCTTGATATATCTCTCGTTACACAAGTGAAACTCTGTACCCATACATCATGAGCTCTATGTTGTATGCTTTTTATGAAGGAATAATTCATGACCAAGAACATAAATTGAAAATCATACAAATAGTTCACACCTACCACCAAAACAAAATGAAATCAAGAACAAAACACTGGACAAAATGGTTCAAATTTCCTTTTTTTCAGAAATTTATCTTCTTGTTCTAATGGCCTTACCTCTAGAACATGGAAAGCATGAGATATATTTTGTGTAATACTTCAACTTTTGACACACAGTTTAAAATAACCAGTGGTAGGAGAGTTCGTTCCATCCTGAGCTCCAGAGCTATATAGGATGCCTGATTCTGAGTGTCATGTTTGTTTCAGAATTTCTTTGTAAGCAAATTTTCAATAAGGACTTGGGGAAATGTCAACACATTTGGGAAGGGTATCTTAAGAACCAAGGGAGCAGAAATATGAAAGTTTATAGATTAGAATCTATTGAACTTGTTGATTCTAAGGAACATTGAGACATGTTCCTACTGAGAATTCATTCAAACTTTAGGTAATTATACACTGGATTAGTTTCATCAGCCAGTAGTAACTGTCCATCCATTTTGCTCTTATTGGCTGAGGGTTACTTGACTTCAATGTCCTGCATAAAGACTGAGTGACTTTCTTGCCTCAGAGAAGAAATTACTGAATCATAAAAGTGGAGGTAAGTAGTAGGAGACTAGCTACATCTGAGTAACTGTTTATCAGAGTGACATGTGAAATGTGATGTGATCCCAAGAGACTGGTAATACTGAACAGTGTTATTATGTACACTTTCTCATCCCATCCTCCTGACTAAATCCAAGCTATGGAGTCTGCCTATCTATTCAGATCTCAGATATTTTGAAAGTCTAATTTCTAGGAGGTACTTAAAAACTCAAGGAAATACTCTTTATCTTACCTTTCTTAGTCGTATAACACCATCCTGGGCCTGGGCATCAGAAGTGATTTCAAATAGTGCTGTTCCATCTCCATCAATGATGTCATATGATGATTGTGCATTTTCACCAATATCCTGGTCATTTGCTTTAACCCTTCCTATTGCTGTGCCAAGAACCACATCCTCTGGCACTGAGAAGTGATACAGACCTTTAAAAAGAGGAGAAACCCTGGGTGGTACACAAACACTATTCACTCTCTGATTGATTTGCCACAATTAATTGGATATTTCCAATCTTCTGGACATTTCTAGAAATGTTACCAAGACAGTGCTAGATATGGTTGAACATCTCTTCATTTAAAAAAAAAAGTGAAAGAAATTTTTCTAAGAAGTAGTGAACCCTCTTCAACATGCTTCAGAGAAAGAAAATTCACTTATTTAATCATATATTTACCAAGTATTTATTTGTAGTAACCAGACCAGGATATTAGTGAGTCTATGTGAATTTCCTTTTCTATTTTCTGGATAATCACAATGCCTGCCTGTTGGGATATTCATTGTTGCCTCACATAAAATATTAAGCTAATTTCAGCATAGGGAGATGCAATGTATTACACATTGAAAGTCACTTTTGAACTTACTTTTATATTTACTAACTTGTAGGCCATTTTTGATAAAATCCAATTACTAAACTTCTGCTGTGCCCTGCAGCAAGGTGTCCAGTTACATGAAATACTCCCCTTGTCACTAAATTCTTCATTGCTCTAAAGACTAAAATCCTTCCTTCAAAACTCCCTAGGCAAAAATACAATTACAGTATGTTTTTTCTCTCCTATGGGGATGGTAAAGCATGTCCAATCAGTGGAATGTGTCCTGTTTTTATTGCAGTTTCTTCGCTGAGATGTTGGTTGCAGACATGTGCATTGGTATAGTGGAAGCTAGGGGTACCAGACCACTCTCCCTGGCCATTAACACATTACTGCTCACCTGTCCTACATATGTCTATCTGTTCTTGTATTTCTTTGCCTTAGGGCTTTATCTTGCCTTCAGATTCCATTTCATCCATTGTGTGTCAGGCTGGAAGTACTGCTCCTGCATTGATTTGTCCCACAGAAGTTGTCATCAAAGACTCAGAAGAGTTAGTTTATGAAATACCATACTCCACCCTTCTCTGAAGGGATAACTGAGTTATTGCCAATTTTTAAAAATGTTTGCAACAGGTCAGACTTTTCTCAGTAGGATAAAGATACATTAATCTGTGGTGGTAAGAGTTTTGATCATGCACACTGCTGGCTTTATAACCTGTCCTTTCTCAGTTTCCCACTGGTGTTCCTTGGGAAAGTTAAACTAATCATATTCAGGTTCTTGTCTTTGGGCCTATTTCAGGCAAACCCAACCTCAGACAAACAGAAAGACTGAATCCTCTTGCAATCACAACAAGGGGAAAACAACTGTTCAATGGACAGCAAGCCCAAAGGAAAAGTTAAATCTATAGAACACTGCATAATTACAGCTTAAACTCAAATTTTGAATCAATGAATAACCATAGTTTATATTATCATTTAGAGTGTAAGATTAGTTTTTTTTGATGAGTTAAGTTCATATATTCCTTTCTTCAATGATGGAGTAATACTTGCCTGAATCATAACGTTATGGAACTGAAGAAAAAAAACATTTTGCAAGTGGTTTTAACCTAAGGTAGGAAAAGAAAACAATTCTGACTAACACATGCTCCTCTCAAGGTTTGGATTCTGAGTGAATTTGTATATTATCCCTTTAGTGTGCTTGTTATGTAAATAGCCAGTGAGTGGACCTCACCAATCCTACTCCACATAGCCTTGAAAAGCTAAGTAAATGGAGCATTCTGTGTACCAGGCTTTCTCTAGGGCCACCAATCAGCTCCTAAATCATGACACAGAGACTTATTATTTTTTGTTACAAATACCCTGCCGGTGCTTAGGTAGGTTTCTGGCTAGGTCTTTTAACTTTAACCTGTTTATCCTTATCTACCCTTTGCTTCAGGCATATTATCTTTCTCACTTCTATATATCTTACTTTCACTGCTTTTCTATGTCTGGCTGGCTGGTGTCTGCAAGACATCTCACACTAGGCATGTCCCTAGCTCTCTCCATCTTCTCTCCTCCTCTTCTTTTTGCTCTCCTTTTTATTCCCTGTGCCTGCTAACTTTTCTTATCCCTCTCTTGCTTAGATTGAACATTCAGCTCTTTATTTGACCAATCAGGTGTCTCCAGGAGTCAAGGTGAAACAGATGCAGCATATCTCTACAAAATTAAACACACATCTTTACATTGTTTCACAAATGCAGCATAAAGAAAAGTCACACAACTTTACCTAGCTAAAATAATATTCCACAAAGTTCTCTGTGGTTTGTCATCTCCATTATGGTAATCATGGTTAATAATCATTACCTCCACAAATGGGAATGCTTGAGAAACTTACCTATCACTGTTGAATCAAAATAATCATCTCTCTGCAAAAGATGAGCTGCATGTGACTGAGTGAACTACAAAGGGAGCAGGAAGCAAAATAAAAGACTGGAGAATGGATAGGATGAATTATTTCAATGATTTTTCTTTAAAGGGTTCTAATTCTTATTGGGGTAGAAATAAAAGTTGTTCAATTCTATATGAAAATATATCTCTGCACTTTCTGCCTCCCTCCTCTCATTTGCTAGTTACTCTCTTTCCTTTCACAAAAGTGTTTTCTTGTGGTGTTTTTTAAGGCAGCAGGAAGCTTCACTAGGTACTTAGCTGCTGATATCAGAAATGTAGTGTTATCTTTTTAAAATCATAAGGCAATCCACCCTTAGACTTACATAATTCATATCGAAGAACTTACAGGCCATATACTTTATTCTGCTTATACTTCTACCATCTTTGCTTGCCATGGCTCTTACAAATTTTGAAATGAAAGCTTGCAAACTTCTTCTTAATGGACTGTAATGTGGTGAAGACATGTGTAATTTTATTTATTTATTTATTTGTTTATTTATTTATTTACTTATTTATTACTTTTCTTTAACAAACTCACTCAATTCACCTACAAATTAAGATATTTTAATGACTTCTAGTGATCACAGTACTAAACATGGCACACTAATTCAGTCATAACTCATTTTTCTGTAACCTTATTTTCAATACCTTTCATCAAACCTAACTCCCTGACCTATTTGGTTTCAAAGGCAGCAAATTATTTTTTTTTTAATTTGGTTTTTCGAGACAGGGTTTCTCTGTGTAGCTTTGGAACCTATCATGACACTCCCTCTGGAAACCAGGCTGGCCTTGAACTCAGAGAATTGCCTGCCTCTGCCTCCTGAGTGCTGGGATTAAAAGCGTTTGGCACCAATGCCTGGCTATTTTATTATTTTTATATTGTATATATTTAAGGGTGACAATAATTTACTGTATGTACACATCAATAATTTGGAAGTGTGCATACATGTACAAATTGAGGACAATAATAGCTATAATACCCCCAAAATAGAAATAAGTGATGTACCTATTGATTGAAGATTAGATACCTAAGCAGTGGTACATATGACTATAAACTCAGTGTATTTTTCAGCCATAAAATTGAGTGTCTTTTCATTGACAGCATCACTGAGCATAGAGGACATTACATTAAATGAAATAAATTAGACTAAAATATCCATCTAATTTCAAAGTGACTATGATTATATAAATATGCAAACATATTATGACTGATATATGTATTTGTAACCATAGATTTTTAGCACTGGTGTCTATTCTCCCTCCATTGGCTTATTGATTTCATCCTATTCCAGGTTATTCTATGCATCCTTCATTTCTCAATTCAGGAATCCTCCTATCAGGTCTGAAAGACTTTGAAAATTCCTCATCATATTACTTAGATAAACATAAGAATTGTTTTATGAGAAGAAGAGGATGTATGTAAATAATGATCATCTCCCTAGACAACTGACAGTAGCTGCCTGGAATTCTGTTGATGTTGCTAAAGCAGGCCATACCCTCAGCAGGATGGAGTTACTAATGTCTCTTGTGCTGGCAGGAAAAAGGATGTCTGTTTGGAAGCTGTTTTAATGTGGAGTTTGTTCCCTTCTACAGACTTTATTTCTTTTCTACAACAATGGCATCAATAGTGGATCAATATCAGGGATGAATTTTCATCATTAACTCAAGTACTTTCTGATTCAATTATCTGCTATGTCCTTGATATTTAGGGTTTTCATGGTGTCCTTGAAATTATGAAAACGGAGATAAAAGGGTGTCTTGGCATACTTTTCTAGTAAGCAGTCCATAGCCGTTATCAGGTTCTATAATGATGAGGAAAATTTTACTAGAAATCTGCTTGATTTGAGGCTAGTGTAGGAAATCACTTACTCTGGGCAAATTTTGGAGGATTGTCATTAACATCAGTAAGGGTCACTGGAAGTGTTGTAGTTCCAGACAGACCTCCAGAGTGTCCTCCCATATCTTTGGCTTGGATTACAACAAGGTATTCCTCCTTGGCTTCTCGGTCCATGTTCGGAAGAGCAGTTTTTATAATAGCTGAGGTAAACAAAAGGATAAATGAACTTCAGTAGAGTATTCATTAAGCTACACAGACATACATATGCATACATCAAGTGCCTCCTTAAGAAGATTTTGTTTTTTGCTGATATTTAGCTGTTATTTATCTGTAATATTGGTGTTGAGTCTGAATGTGGTGGTCATAGGAATTCATGGATAACCTGAAAATACAGCTATTGTAAGGCATTAAGAGATTTTGTAAAAATATACTTTAGAAAACAAACTGCCTACCAAATTAAAGTATAAATCACAGCATAGACCCATCTTAGCAGAAAAACCCTACAAGTGAAATAATTCTGCAATTTATCACATACCCCAATTCCCTTAGAAGATGAGTAAATCAACAAACAGCTTGGAGGCTCTAAGGTCAAAGATAAATTATTCTATGGCTTGTATTACCAAAACATTTTACAATGACTGTCATTTAGAACTTTTTTTCAATACATAGTGGCTAATACCATTGACCCTTACAGGTACATATGTTTTCATCAATTTCATATGGTGAATTTACCAAGTTAGTTAAATAGTTTCACAGTGAGATACATACAGTCTATTTAATTTCCTCACTTTTACAGCACCCAGTAGTTCTGTTGTGAGCTTGTTAGCTAAATCTTTTCCTTTTTTCCATTGCTCCTTTTCCTTCTCAGTCTCCAACTCTTCCTTTTCATCCTTCTCCTTCTTTTTCCTTCTGTATCTTTGACTGTTTTTTCTTGTTTTTCACTGATAGGACTACTCAAGATTTCATACCTTCTAATCAAGTACTCCTACTGAGCTCTACCCCTAGCCTGTCCTGTGTTTTCCTGTTTCTTATACTTTCAATTAAGTATGTGTCAAATGAATCCCTTCTGTTTTTAAGTTCCCACAATTAAATAGGGCTATTTAGTGTTGCATATTAAAGTGTGTTTGTAAGTAAAAAAAAAACTGTCCAAACTAAAAGATCATTTCACCTATATTTCTAGCACCATAACCTGATAATGTAGGTCAGATCAATCTCTCACTCCCAGCCCCCAAACATAATAAATGTTGATCATCCCATCCTCACTTTCAATCCTATAACTTCATGAATATAGATAACTCCTACCCTCTATTCTAATCCAACAACATCTCTGTTTATCCATTCTAAAACTGTGCTTCAAATTTTCTTTTAGAACTTACAATTTTAATTAAACTGTGTGTCTGTGAAGGGTTTCCGAAGAGTTTGGATCTTTGAATAACTTGGGTAGAATGAGAGGTGTGAAAGTAACAAGAGAAATAGGATTCATTGGAGTACTAAATAGCCTTGGGAAATACTGTCAGTTCATTAGTCATTGACAATACTTTTGTATCAAGGCTACCCATAGTTGAATTACACAGTTTGCTTAGAAATATTTGCCATTACAAAATGATATATCTCAGAAGAACTGTCCAGACAAGATCAGTTGCATTCAATGTGGTATGCTGGGATGCCATGCTCAGTCTTAATGCATGGGTTAGGGGCCTGACCCTGCCCTAACTGATTGTTCCAGACTATGTTGACTCCTCATGGGAGCCCTTACTGGTGAGGAGGAGTGGACTGGGGGTGGGCTAGAGGGAGAGTGAGGGGGAGGTGGGAATAGGGGTGGGAGGTAGAACTGTGGTTGGAATGTAAAATGAAATAAAAAATGGAAAAAAGAGAATTATTACAATTTAACATACTGTATACAACCCAGAGATCACAATCTATTGTTAAACACAAACAAAAAAGAAAAAGAAAACCATAATCATCATTCAGATCTGAATAAGTCACTATTGAGAAAGAAAAAAAAAAAAAAGAAAAGCTACAGGACAATGAGATCTTATCATGATCATGTTGGTATACCCCGCTATAGATAGGCATGTCCATAATTTGGGAAATTCTTTACTGTATATACGCCAAATTTTGACTCAGAGCTTTAGAAACTTTGTGGTTCATATAATATTAAAAAGAATGTTTATAAAATTTAGACACCATTATCAACTATAATCAACTGATGCATTACAATATTCATTGGGGATTCAATTTGATATATTTTTAATAATTGCAAAGTTTTGATACAATACCTCCATAAAGATAACAGTTTTTTCAAGAAATAGGTGAGTTCAGATATTTACATAGAACTTACATAGTATTTGAGTAAGAGAATTGAAGTTTACTAACCTCATCATTTTTATATATCCTTAGAATAATTTTAAATTGATATCTCATAGAGACTTATACAAAATGGTTTTGTAGAAAATAGTATGCCTTGGTTAATGCTGTAATGTTGTATCATCCTAACAAATGCAAAGACTCAATATGAAAGGGATTCTTCTCAAATTAAACAAGAGGAGTGTCATGGAACTGTATCAATTGTAGAATTGTGTGTCTCTCCAATAATGAAACTATGTTTCATACTTCATAAGGTGCTTCTATATTGACAAGTTAATTGTCCCTGTAAATATTCTCTTTAATTAAAAAAATGTCTAGCCTCTTATCTTATCCTCATTCTTACTAAGTTTGTGCTCATGAAAAATAGTTTTGAAACACATCGGAATTCACTACCCCACCTTGTCAAGTGAAGATAATAACAAGCATCCTTGTGGCAGGAATTCTAAGACACAAGATACATACACCAGTGTTCTGGGAATACTGTTGATCCATATTCTTTCCTTCTCCTTTCTCTTTGCCATACCTGGCTGTATTTAACACTTGTCTTGATGGTAGAGTTCTGAGTATTCTCCAGCTGTTCCCCCAGTGTATACATACACTATACTTACTCTCAGCAATGGAGTGATGTTAATGTTTTGCTCAAGCAAACCTATTACTTTCTGAATTTCTATAAGATTCCACCATTGCAGATCATTTTAGAAGGTGGTAAGACTGAAGAATGGTCAGTTTCTAGACTGCACAGGAGTCTTCAGCACATACACGGATACTCTTTTTCTTTTTATTTATATGCATTTCTATGGAAAATTTCTGTCTAATATCTCATCGTCTGTCTTACTTCCTCAAGGATAAGGTTGTTGACAGCACTTCTGTAGTCAATTTTGAATGCTCCATCTGTGGTCTCCAATAACCATATTATCCATGAGCCTTTAAATTTGTTTTTTCCTAATTGCCAATTTATGTTAAGAATCTAAATATAGTTAATATTTTATTCCATTCTAATCTGAGGTCTAAACACACTGACAGTATCTTTGTTTCCCAGATAGCAACAGTTCAGAAGTATTTATTTTTGTCGTTCAGAGGCTGTGTCTCTTAAAAACAGTCTTATAATCTTCTCAACACAATGAAAATACTATCCTAACTGAGCAGTTCAGTAACACCAAACTGGAAAGTTTTATGTCTAACAGCTTTGCTCTTTATCTTCTTTTCTAAGATGTTGGGAGTAACTTTCCTGATTGCTAAAGCAAGTGGGGATCCCCTCCAAGGTTTCTTGAGGACACACAACACAAGTAATTGGCTTCAGTTCAAACTGTATAATGAACAGATTGCCTGAGCCCACTGCCTCTAATCTTAACCTCAGTACTAGCAGCAATTCATTACAAAATCCAAGACAGAATTTCTAGAACTTTCTTTGCAGCTACCCTGTGGCTATAAAGGCAACCTAGTTGAAACTGCTAGAGCCTTTCATCTACCCATTTTCTCTTTGTGTTGTGTCCTAGCTATCAATGTTACTTGAGATTTTTATTCCTATTCTAAAGGCAGGTCATTTCTTTTCCACAGCATCACAAGGCCTTGAAAACTCCTAAAATAGAAGATTGAAATTGCATTAAAAATCTCTTTAGCTTTGGTTTGTAGTTTTACCCCAAATCATAAGCTATAGAGTGTTTATGGATCAAAGAGAATCTTTTTATTAAAAATATTAGTTCATCCTTTATGTCATCTGATATAAAGGAGAAAATGAGTAATTAGAATGAGCTGCTTTTCTTCTTAGATTTGCAGTTCAAAAAGCTGGACATGTGGACACTAAAAGAGACAAATCTTCATTAAACTGGTGCTGCTTGTCAGTCTCCAGCTTTGATTTTAATAAGGCAAATAGCAGCTTCCTAGAACTTATATATCAGACAACATAAACCAAAATTGCCGTTTAAGATTCTCAGTTTTTAAGAACTTTGTGTTGCCCAAGATATGCAGTAAACATCCCTTTTGTTATCATATTGAGCAGTGTTTTTACATGTTCTTATGTACAGATAGTCACATATTGACCATGAACAGCTGCATGTTCAAGAGGTCCTGTACATTTCAGATTCCTTTGCAACTTGGTAACAAATTAGGGACACAATTTTGTCAAAACATTGTTTGACAAAATGATTTCTTCTGGGCCAGCTTGTTTAAGTTCCTTGAAGTGAGTTTTTTCTTTCCTATTTTTTGAGTTGGCATACAAGGTAATGAGTTTAGTTAGGATGTTTTCATATATATCTACTATTTCATTTTGCCCTTATCCTTTCTCTGATCCTCCCCCTCCCCTACAGCTTCTGTATTTCAGGCTGTTCCTTATTGCTCACCAACAGTTTTTCCTCTGCTTGTCATGGTGTGTTGAGAAATAGTTTCATAATAAAAAAACAGGTAGTTTTTCAAACTATAATAATTCTAGAAGAACTTTGAGTTTATACAATTATTTTATTGCACCTTGGTTCCTAATTATCGTATATTTCTAGTGAGTGTTACTTCTAAAGTTAAGATTTATAATCTTCTGCAAATATCTAACCTTGTTTAAATCACTAAGCATCCCCACAGTAAATGTTTCTCCTTGAAAAAATGAAGGACCTTAACATCCATGAGTTTGAGAAAAGTCAAGCTTAATTGCATTGTTACTTGGGGATAGAAAGATGGAAGTTACAGTTAAGATATAAAATACCAGGCAGTGGTTTCATTTTTAGATATGGTAGAAACGGTAGCAGCAAGGATTAGTTGGAGGATGTAGGTCATGGAGGGTTCCTTTGAAGCTTATAGCTGGTCTGAAAACCCTTCCTCTTTCTCTGCCTCTTGTTCACCCAGA